TGGTTCTTATAAATATTAAATATCTTAAAGTTGTTTATTCATAACAAAATGTAATAAAGTTGATCATTATTAGGTCACATTCAATAGTGTTTGAATACAATGTTTAAATAAATTCGTCATTAAATTTCCCTTTCTTCTGTCATTATAAATAATTGTCTTAAGACATTCAAAAATATTTACAATTAAAATAGAGAATATAAATAATATAAAATATAATTATAAATATAAATTGAGAATATAATCATTTAAAATTTCGCTTGTTTATCACTTGCCTATTTTAATTTTAATTATGGATATTGATGATTATTGAAATTGTACACAGATGTTTGGCTACCCAAGCGGCAGTGAAGGTCACGGAAGACAAGCCACGAGAAAATGCCGTCACGAAGGAGTCTCAATCTTTTACCATGAATCTCTTCCGTGGTCAATTGCAGTTGAGCCAAGTGTGCCCATTCCCTGAACCCATGACTCAGGACCAAACTGAAACGTTAAGAATGCTGATTGATCCCGTGGAAAAGTTCTACGAAGTAATTACCTTAAAGAGTACAATAACGAAGTATAAGACTAACTTTTATTAAATATACTTTTTTTTCTCTTTCAGGAAGTAAATGATCCGGTTAAAAATGATCAGAACGCGTACGTGGATGAGAAAACAACAGCTGCTCTCTGGGATATGGGAGCGTTCTCTCTGCAAGTTCCCACGGAATTTGGCGGATTAGGATTAACGAATACCCAGTACACGCGAATCGTTGAGATATGCGGTTATCACGATTTAGGCATCGGTATCACACTGGGTGCGCATCAGAGTATTGGATTCAAGGTAAAATTTCTCACGACTTTACTTTTTTACTCGTTTTTGACGGTTCTTCTAATAGTATTGATATCCATAATGTTATTACATCTTTTAACATTTTAATTGATTTGTCAATATTCCAATGAATCATATAAGTTTATTCTAATTTTTGAGTTTCAACGATTTCGTTATGATTATGAGTGAAGATAATTAAGTACGCTTAAATGTATCATCATATCATTATTATTTTTGAATAAATTTGACATTTCATTTCTTTACTAATTTTATCTCTTATACTCGTTCATTGACTTCGATTTTATTTTACTTGCTTAATATATATGAAGTAAGTCTTATTTTGTTATTTTTCAGGGTATACTTTTATACGGCACACCGGAACAGAAAGCTAAGTACCTGCCTCAAGTAAGCAACGGCAAATTCGCCGCTTTCTGTTTGACGGAACCGAGTTCCGGTTCCGATGCCAATTCAATACGTTCGCGTGCTATTAAATCTGCGGATGGATCGCACTATGTTCTCAATGGTAGCAAGATATGGATTTCGAATGGCGGCATTGCCGAAATCATGACCGTGTTCGCTCAAACGCCTATCACGGATCCAAAAACGGGCGAAACAAAAGATAGAATAACCGCTTTCGTTGTGGAGAGAGGATTCGGTGGTGTCACCAATGGACCGCCTGAGAAAAAGATGGGTATCAAGTGTAGCAATACGGCTGCGCTCTTCTTCGAGGACGTTAAGATCCCAGTAGAGAATGTTCTCGGCAAGGAGGGTGAAGGTTTTAAGGTATAAAATTTTATAAAAACTTTCGTTCTCATCTTTGAGTATCATAAATATCGTTAAGTAAATCGACAAATGTGTTTAATACAACATCTACTTGTATCTAATACATAACGCAATACAATATATTATATTTAATAAAAATTTCTAATTCTTTTGCATGAAACTTCGCGAATTATTTACTTGAGTTTGAATGCTGCTCGAACTATATTCGTTATTTGATTTCAGGTCGCCATGAACATCCTAAACAATGGGAGGTTCGGTATGGCTGCTTGTCTATCTGGTACCATGCGTTACTGCATCAACAAAGCCGTGAATCATGCAACGCAACGCTTGCAATTCGGTCGCACATTGGATAATTATGGTACAATACAAGAAAAATTGGGGCGCATGTCTATACTGCATTACATCACTCAGTCTCTTGCATATATGATTTCTGGTAACATGGATTGCGGAAGCCAAGACTATCATCTAGAAGCCGCTATTTCGAAAGTAATTCTGTTCGAATAATTTGCTTATGTAACATTCTGATACATCTTTATAGATAAGTATATAAATTTTATATTTTAATGGATCTGAATATAGAGATAATCCGCGAAACGCATAACTTCTGTATAGAAAGTACTCGTAGAAGCCTCAAAAACATTATCGAGACAATACAAACATTTCATCTTTGATAAAAATATTAATGGAGAATAAATATTAATGGAGAAAATATAACTATTAATTTATATATTAAAGTTACATTTTTTTTCATTGTAGTGTTTTGGATCTGATTCCGCGTGGTGGGTGTGCAATGAAGCTATTCAGATCTTAGGAGGAATGGGTTTCATGCACGAGACCGGTCTAGAACGTGTAATGCGCGATTTGCGTATATTTCCAATCTTCGAAGGGACAAACGATATTTTGCGCCTGTTCGTGGCGCTTACTGGTATCCAATATGCCGGAAGCCATTTGAAGGAACTACAGAGGGCGTTCAAGAATCCTTCCGCGAATTTAGGATTGATTGTTGAGGAAGCCACTAAACGTGCGACTAGAGCAATCGGTTTGAAATCGCCGCCTACGTTCGGGAATTTGGTACATCCAAAATTGGCGGAAAGTGCCGCGCTTTGCTCGAGGGTGAGAATAATAATTCGAACGTATAAGCTGGAATTTTAATACAAACAAATTTGCATTAAAAAAATTATAATTGCAGAGCGTGGAAAACTTTGGTCAAGTTATAGAGTCTTCTCTTATCAAATACGGACGAGGTATTGTAGACGAACAGTTTATCCTCAATAGGATTGCGCAAGCCGCTTTTGATACGTATACAATGGCGGTTGTTCTAAGCAGGGCGACTATGTCGTTGAACAAGAATTTGCCTAGTGCAGAGCACGAGTTGTTAATGGCACAAACTTGGTGCATGGAGGTATGGATATATTTATATTATTCTTTATTAAAATCTTAGTAAGATCAACAAGTATTCACTATAATCATTTATAATTTCTTAAATTAATGAATAAATATATAGGTAAGTATCTGTATCTAAGTTGATCTATCATAAAAAATATATTTTTGAATAATTAACTTATTTTCTAAGATATTGTGTTATAAATATTATTTGACCCTGCTAGTTATAATGTAAATATACAATTTATTTTTCAATTCCTAAACGTAGTTATTTAATGCATTATTTATTGTTACAGGCATCAAACCGTGCTGCAAATAATCTACAGCAAGTCAGTTCCGCCAAACAATTAGATATCTTTAGCAACCTAAGTAAAATTTCGAAAAATGTATGCGACGTCGGTGGATGCGTACAATTAAATCCAATGGGCTTTTAAGACTCGGTCTATACATTTTGAGACATAATTTGTGAAATCTTGAATTTACGCAAGTTTTATCAGGTTAGAGATATTGTTTACCACAGGAGAAAAAGAAGAGAATTCTTACAATATTTCAACTTCGTAATTTATAAAAAAAACATAAAGTGAAGAAAAAAAGAGAATTCTTATAATATTTCAATTTATAATTTATAGAAAAACATATAAATAATAGTACAAATAAAAAGCAACTTTATGATCGACTGTACGTATTTTCCGCGAAAAGTGCGTGCGAAATAAGCAATTAACAATGCAAAAATTAAACTTAGTAAGGTATTATAAGGTGTATTTAAAAGTATATATAGAAAATTATGTATTTTTAATATCTCTTTACACCTCTTTACACGGGACGACGATTCCAGATGTATAGTTATACAAATAATGTGATCTATCTGAAGTTATTTTTTCTTAGATGCTGTTTATTTATTTTATA